CCCCCCTCCTTTTTTTCCTCTTTGCAGTGTATATGTGTATATGATCAAGTGAACCAATACCAATGATACTGTTTGCTTTGACTCTACATGAGAATACGATGACGTTTTTGTTTCTATTTTCGTGTCATGTTGTTGGTGATGATGTTGCTCTGTTACTTGGCCCCCTTAGCTGCGCTGTCTTTTTTAAAAATAGACGTGTCTGGTTTAAAAAGGGCTCTTTTTTTCTTCTTTGAGTGTGTCTTCTTCTTTTTTTTTTGCAGTTGTTACTTGTACGTACGGAGGAGATGGAGATGGAAGATGGGAAAGAAGAAAAAAAGATATTTATAGCAATAATACATGGGTTATCTGGGGGGGGAAACTACATGTATGATGATGTCTTATTACTCCTATACTCTCGACTCTCACTTCTTTTGCCTCTTGGCACTCTTGTCACTGACCCCACTGAGAACACTAGCGCTCCTCTTATGCGTAGTCGTACCGTCGTCTTCCTGGTCTCCTTTATCCTCATCCTTGTCCTGGTCGGCGGCCGCCTGTGTATCGGTAGCGGTAGCAGTCTTGACCTCACCCTCCTTGTCGTCTGCAGGTTCAGCGGTTGCGGTCGCGTCTGCGGTTGCAGCTTCGGCAGGTGGACAAGGTTGATGATGAGGAGGCGAAGAAGGAAGAGGAGGGGGGGGAGGATGGGAAGTAGGAGGAGGATGAGAAGTAGGGGGAGGATGAGAAGTAGGAGGAGGAGGGGGGGGGAGGGGAGGAAGAGGAGCAGCGGAGGTAGTAGCAAGGTTCTTTTCCCTTTCCGTCTTCTTAGCCTGCTCCAGCTTGATCTCGGCGTCTAGCTTGTCCGAGACCTTTCTGGCGTCGAGGAGGGCGTTGACGGCGGCGAGTAGCTGCTCGTACTGTAGCGTCGTCGAGGCCGTAGGCATGGCCAGCTTGGCGGGGACGTCTAGCTCGTTGAGGACGTTGTTGATGCGCATCTGCTGCTGGTTGGACTTGTGGGAGAAGAGCTTGTTGATCTTCTCGGTGCGGAAGAGCGGGCCGGAGCCCAGACGGTCGTGGTGTGTCACGCCGTAGATCAGCTCTTCCTTCTCCGTCAGCTTGGGCTTCTCCAGCGCTGCCTGTTGCTGTTGAGCCTGGGCCTGAGCCTGGGCCTGCTGATTTTGTTGATGCTGTTGGTTGTGTGATGATGAGCCCTTCTTGTTGTTCGTAGTCGTTGTCGCCGTCGTTGTTGCTGCTGTCGTGGGCGCGTTGGCTGTTGTGGGTGTTGGGGTTTGGGCTGCCGTGGATGTGGCTGTGCTTTCGCGACGGGAGTGATTCCCGCGATGATAATCTTGAGATGATGACGACGCCGCCGCCGCCGCCGCTGCTGCTGCTGCCGATGATGATGATGCGGAAGAAGTGCCAGCTGGGTCGACGATACCACCGACGGAAGCGGTGGCGGTGGCACCCATGAGAGACTTCCGCTTCTTGGATTTGTCCGCCGTCATTAGGTTCTGCAGGAGGGTCTGCAGACCGGCCGAGGACTTGAAGTTGTTGATGTCCGTCTCGGCGTGGGGGTAGTCGAGGCGGTTGTAGAGCTCGCGACGTTCCTCGTTGAATCGCTCGGAGCGGGCGAGGATGCGTTTCACCTCGAGGAGGAGGGACTCCTCCTCGCGGGCCTCGTCGCGCGACCGTGACAGTGCGTTGAGCGCAAACTCCTTGCGCGCCTTCTCCTGCTGCGGGTTGAAGTGCGCCATCATCTCATGCAGAGCGAACTCGGCCTGCGACATGTACTGCACCGGCTTCTGCTGCGCCATCATCCGCGCCGCCACCTCGTAGTACCGAGCCTTGAGATCCTCGAGTGACCGGGCCTCGGTCCTGCTGGGCGGCACAATCGCCTTGGTCTCCTCTTCTTCCTCCTCCTCCTCCTCCTCCCCCTCCCCCTCCACCTCTTGCCCCTGACCCTTCTCACCGGTGCGCGGGGCCGCAGCGCCGTCGGTGGCCGGCGGCGTCCACTCGTACCGGTCCCAGATTATGGGCCACCGTAGGTCGTAGTCTCCCGCCAGACCCATGAGGTAGTCCGTCTCCTCGCGCGTCCAGTCGTCGCTTGCGAGACACTGTCTGTACTGCTCGTCTGTGTAGCGCGGTATCGGCACGTGCACATTGAACTTGGCGAATGCTGAGTCCTCCACCTCTTCCTCCTTCTCTGCCTTGTTCTTCCTCTCATCATCATCATCATCATCATCCTCCTCCTCCTGCTTAGAGGCGGCAGTACCTGCTGCTGTTGTTGTTGCTGCTGCTGCTGCTGCTGCTGCTGCTGCTGCTGCTGCATCTCCCGGTGCATGTGGCTTTGCAGCGGCCCCGACGCCGCCCCTCCGTTTCCAGTGCCTGAGGATGAGGCTCGGGTCGTCACGCGCCGAGTTTCGGAACGCCGATAGTTCCCAGCGTGCAGTGGGTTTGCGGTTCGCCAGCCTCCTCTTCTTGAAGGCCGTCACCTCGGGGACGATGGAGATGGGGCTGTCGCCTCCCAGATTATGCACCTCACGTGCCAGACCCTTGAGGTTGGGTCGGGGAGCCGAGAGTTTCTGTTTCTTGACCGGTCGCGCCGCGGAAGCAGCACCACCTCCACCATGGTTGTTGGCGCCGTTCCCATCCGGGAGGTTGAGAACGTCGCGTACGTCGGAGGAACTCATGTCGGCTGGTGCATCGGGGGTTCTTTTGTTCTTCTCCGCCGTGTTCCAATTCCGTGCGGTCGCGCGCGCAAGACGCGTCGTTTATGTGATAGGGAAAGTTCGACTGTCGGTTCGTGATAATTATTTTCCGGATGTATTTTTTTTTTTGGACAATAGTCATTTGGTTTTCCGGGGGGTTATATGTCGTCTCGTGGGATTAATTGATTGATGACGGGGAGAGAAAATACCAAAAGTTGGGGAAAAGGGAACGCGACGGGAAGAGATAGAGTTAGCATTATCTGCCACGTGACCCCCACCTCCCCCCCCTGACAACTCAAAAGGAGCTGGTATGTACATACACAAACATGTACGTAGTATGGACTCTTCTATTCGCGCCTCCCATCTCGTTCCATTCTCCCTCCCCCCATCGACACGTCGCCACAGCTACACATCTGGGAACTGCAACCTACAACGGAGAGTNATTGATTGATGACGGGGAGAGAAAATACCAAAAGTTGGGGAAAAGGGAACGCGACGGGAAGAGATAGAGTTAGCATTATCTGCCACGTGACCCCCCCCCCCCCCCCCTGACAACTCTAGACGTGGCAGCTTCAACACGAACCACCAAGGAGGGAGCTTCCCCAAGTCTATTCGCGCCTCCCATCTCGTTCCATTCTCCCTCCCCCCATCGACACGTCGCCACAGCTACACATCTGGGAACTGCAACCTACAACGGAGAGTGCGACTTGCGATTCGACATCTTGTCCCCTTATTGTGTGTCCTGCGTCGGATCAACCGTCCAACACGGAAATGAAGGTCCTCTTCCCGCTCCTGTCGCTGGCCTCGGCCGCCCAGGCTCTCTACTTCTTCATCGACCTCTCCACGCCGAAGTGCTTCTACGAGGATCTCCCAAAGGACACTCTGGTCGTGGGGCACTACTCTGCGGAAGAGTGGGACGACCGAGCCAACTCCTGGCAGCAGCATACCGGGATCAACATCTTCATTTCCGTTGATGTAAGAAACTATCACCAGACTACCTACCACACGCTCTTCTCTCGCCCCCTCCTCTTGGGGGCCGAAGAAGAAGAAATAAAAAGCCAATTGTGCTGACAAGAGCCAACCCCCCTCCGGCAGGAAATCTTTGATGATGATCACCGCGTCGTCTCTCAGAAGGGTACATCATCCGGCCGCTTCACCTTCTCCTCTGCCGAGTCCGGCAACCACAAGATCTGCTTCACCCCGTCCTCAACGTCCGGCCGCAGCGCGTGGACCAGCCTGACCCACGAGAACGGTGGCATCAAGCTCCAGCTCGACATGGTCATCGGTGAGACCAACCAGATCGAGAGCACCGACAAGAATAAGCTGCAGGACATCGCCTCGCGCGTCAGGGATCTGAATGCTCGTATCAAGGATGTCAGGAGGGAGCAGGTTTTCCAGAGGGTACACGTCTTCTTCCCCTCCTTCCCCAACAGTCCTCTCCCTTCACCATCTGCATCATCAAAGGTTCGCATTTCTCTAACTGCCAAAAATACAGGAACGTGAAGCCGAGTTTAGGGATCAGTCCGAGTCCACCAACAGCCGCGTCGTCCGCTGGATCGTCATCCAACTCATCGTCTTGGGAGTCACTTGTGCCTGGCAGCTATCTCACCTTCGTTCATTCTTCATCAAGCAGAAGCTCACCTAGGAAAAAAAGAAAGAGATACTGTGTGCACATTGTATCTTTTACTCTGTTTGCTTCTATTATATTTTTTTCCATCATCCACATCTTTGCTCTTTCACTTCTGTCGGGCATGTTTCTTTTCTTTTTACCACACACAAAACGGAGTTGGGTTGGAATACAAGGGAAAGAGGACTGTATAGTCAACGAATGGACGGGTCCAATGCTTCTATGGGAGATGAGTTGTTCATTTTTTTTCCTCTGTCTTTCATCGAGACGAGAGTTGGCCAGTACAATACATATACGTGTTTTTATTACCTGCATACAAGGCTGCACGGCTACAATATCGTCTTCCTGCCATGATCTGCTTGGTCCCTGACGTTTGCACCTCCAGTAGGGAGAGCAGAAAAGGGGTCGTCATACAAGCGAAGAGTACCCAAGGTACGGATACATGTAGCATAGTATACAGCAGACCGTGAAAAGAAGCATATCGGAGACCATGGCAAGCCAGGTATACGAGTTACTATCTAGAAACATATTACAGTGCAGTATACCTCCCGAATTTTCCCGCTATCCGCAACAGAAAAAAAAGAGTAAGTAGATACATTCGAATGGAGAGAAGACCCCGCATATAGGCAAGACTCGAGAGTTCTCATGCTGATTTCTTGGCTACTTCTTCCTGTTCTTCCTCCCATCCTTCTTTCCCCGCGCTTCTACTTGATTGCTGCTCAGAGAGGAGAGGAGGAAGGAGGGGGAAAGGACAGGACATGGGACTGATAACCATTGCGATGTTGTTGCTGTGTAAGAGATTGAAGAAAGAGGAAAAAACATATTATAGACAGACTAAACCAGTGTAAGAAAGTAGTTTGAGAGTGGAAATATGAAATAGGAGGGTTCGAGAAAAAAAAGAGAGTAATAAAAGAAAACACCAAGAACCAAATCCCAAAAAAAATGATGCTGCTGCCCTTTGTTCGACCTTCTTCTGTCTGCGCCGTTTTTGTTTTTTTTTTTGCTGCGCTGCTCATCAGAGAAAAAAAGAGTGGTTGGTGGGGGGGAGGAGGATTATAAGTGTCGTGATGATATATGCCGGGCGTGAGAAGAAAAAAACAGAGAGAGATAAAACACTTTTTTCTTGTTTCCCAATCTTCCCAGTTTCCTTCTTTATTTCCCTTGGTATGGAAGGACACTTCGCCATTGCTCGACTCTTATGGGGACCATGGGAGAACATGTGGCTCCCGACAGTGACGCAGAAGAAGATGAAGGAAACAACAATCTACGAAACCCACAACGGACGCTCGCCAGGGACATGAGGAGCCCCAGCGCCCTCCACCTTTACCTCACCTCGAGCGTGGGGTTCAACAGTTGACGTGGACGGGGTGTGGGTTTCTGCGTTTCAGAGGAGAGCACGGCAACGCGCTGCTCCTTCCAATTGTCGGGCCGAGGACGAGAGCGAGACATCATCCCGCCCGTTGAACAAGGACAAGAAAGAAGCCGAGAGAGAAGCAAACTGGAAAAGGAGATGGGAAACATGTCCGGATCCCCGTGCATGTGCACGGTAGAAGAGAAAACAGTCAGATCTTGGCATGTCGACGCAATCGCTCAGGCTCTCCGGTGATGCTGCCACTAGCCGCAGCACATCGACTTGAAGAACTTTTGCATGCCGGTGGGTTGAGGCTCTGCCGGCTGAGCACTAGGCTGCATCGGCTGGTTCGCCTGGGACTGATGTTGACTGCCCTTCCGCTGAGGCAGGTTCTGGGCGCTGTTCTGGAACTGGGCTTGAGTCGAGCCAGTGGGGGTAGCCATGTCTCCCCGGTGACCCCCCACCCCGCTGGCCCGCTGCGCTGATATAGCGCCGGGGACGTTTTGCCGATCTCTCTGCTTCCCCATGTGCTTGATCGGCGACGGAGGGGGGGGTTGCGCGGCGTTTAAACGGCCGACGGTCAGGTTGTGTGCTTGCTGGTGAGAGGTCGTATTCCCGGGACGGTTCGAACCGTGCAGGTCCATCTGAGAGGGACCGGGCCGGGCGTTTTGGTGGGCGTATCCACCGCTGTGGCCCTTGTTGTCCCAACCCTTTCCCGAATCCTTCGAGATCTTCATCCAGTCGTACTCGCCGTCCTCGATCTCGCCAGTGTTCTTGAGAGCCTGGGTGAAGAGCTCACGCAGGTAGTCGTAGTCGGGCGTGTCCTCGAAGCCCAGGTTGCGGACATATGTCAGGTACTTGGAGAACTCCTCGGAGAAGCCCTCGCAGAGGTCCTTGACCGCCGTCGACTGCTTCTTCTCGCCAATCTTCTCGTACTTTTGCTTGTTGGTGGCGGCCTTGAGACCCTGCCACGGCAGTCCTCCGCGGAGGAAGTACATGAAGACGTGGCCGAGAGCCTCGAGATCATCCCTTCGGGACTGCTCACGGCCAAGATGGGTGTTGATGCTCATGTAGCGGGCGGTTCCGGAGAGCGACTTGCGTTCCCTGTAGGGTATGTGCTGCTTTGACTTGGGGTCGCGGTACTGCTTGGCCATGCCGAAATCGACGACGTGGATGACGTTGGCGGCCTTGGTTCCGGGGCGACCGATGAGGAAGTTGTCGGGCTTGATGTCACGGTAGATGAGGTTCTTCTCGTGAATCGTCTGGACCCTCGAAAGCATCTGCTTGGCAACCATGACGACTGTCTTGACCGAGAAACGGCGGCCGCAATGGTCAAAGAGATCCTCCAGGGAAGGGCCGAGCAGGTCGATGACGAGGATGTTGTGCAGGCCCTCCTGACCAAAGTAGTAGACATTGGGGATTCCGGCTGTGACGAGCGAAGCATGTTAGACGTGCCTGTTCTCGCGGTGGATTCCTTCAAGCGGGGAGGGGGATTCTCACGGCATCCGACTAGGATCTTGTAGGTGCGGTATTCATCTCGAAGCTGGGGAGCATCGCTCTTGCGGGGTTCCTGTTTGAAAACGGGTCGTCAGCATGGACATCGCGGCATCGGCAATCGCGGGGGTCGACGTACAAACTTGATGGCCACCTGCTGGTTGTTGAGGAGGTTGGTGCCTTCAAAGATGACACCAAATGAACCCTCACCGATCTTCTTGCCGACGCGGTAGTGGACGCCGACGACGTTTGAGGATGAGGACGCCATTCTGAAGGTTTCAAGGAACCAGCCAGTTACTGTGAACGGTCGTTGTGCAAGAGGAAGAGTTATTCAACCGCCGTAGATATCTGCATGTGTTCACAGTCAGCGACGTCCAAAGGTAGATAGGGAGAGAGAGAGAGGAGAGAGAGGGAATGCGTAACGCGTTGAACGAATGTGCCTATCAAGTCGGGGAGGGGGGGCTGTGGAGACGTGGATGCATGTACAACGTCTGCGCATGAATTGCCACGGAAGCAGGGGTAAACCGGACAGCTGCCCCGCAAAATGTTGAGGCTGCCAGCAGAGGATGAGACGGGTAGAGAAGGGCAGAGGAAGCGGAATAGTAGGTGAGCGAGGCATGTAGGTAGCCGAACACGATACCCAAGAGATGCTATGTAGGAAGCTGATTGTGGCTTGACGGTGGGCTAGCGTCGGCGACGAGAAGTCTCTCAACAGCTGTCAAGGTAACATGACACACGGTCGCTTCGCCCGCACTTGCGAGAATCCACGGATGGAAGGCAGCGGATGTTTGGATGATTGGACAAAGGAGAGAAGGAAGGGCACATTGTCTTCCACCCCGAGGCACGGCTTCTCGACGTGGTCAGGGATAAGCCACCACGTCAATAAGGGACGCCGGGTAGCCAGGGGTACGTGGCGTGGCGGGAAACGAGGCAATGCAGAATGTCTGGATGGAGACGCAAATGCAGGAAAGAGCAAGTCCACAGGAAGGGGGGGGGGGAGGATGAGTTCGGGCGTCTAATTTTTCTTTTCCACTCACACTCTTGACAGGAGTCGTCGTCGGTCGGTCGGTCGGCGGCGGCGGAAGTGACAATACGCCAGATCGGAGGGGAGAGGAGGAGTGAACGTCGGCGAGGTCGTTTTTTTCTTCTTCTGCAGTATGTGCGTGGGAAGGAAGGCCCGGTCGGTTGGGGATGGATCACACGATGCTCGTCTAGACTGGGGCTTGGAGAGAGGACGAGACCAAGCTGAGGGTCGGCCTCCCAGTCTGATCGTCGACAGGAGCAGAGCGCGGGGGCTTTCTCGGGAAAGGGGATGGACGGGTTAAAGTGAAGGTGGTGGTGATCAAGGCGAGAGAGAGGGAGAAAGAGAAGCGAAGAGGACGGCGGGAAGGGAAAGGGGACGGCAACCAGGGGGGGTGGCCCATGAGAGAGAGAGGCTAACAGAGGGTACGGCAGCACGCTGGGGCGGTCTCTCCAGCTCGGTTACAGTGCATTCTTAGGGCTCTCTACAGAAGCTCTATTGTGGATTCGTACTGGAGGTGGGCTCTCCATGGGTAGTATCACTGCCCGTCCATACTCCTCCATCCGTACACCTGCAGCTGGTGCTGTGATGGATGCTCCACCGCATGTCGAGGCAGGTATATGACAGGAAAGTATCCTTCTACCGTCGCGAACGCTGAGAGGGCTGCAGACAAGGGGCTCAGAGGTACTTGCTCTACGAGTAATTACCCCGATAGCCCGTGAAATAGCCCCCCCCCCCCCCCGGACAATGCAATACATGTACTCCCGTCGTCTCCTCAACAATACTCGTACGAGTGATAGCTGTACATGCACGTTGAACAGCAGGGCAGCTGCAAATAGCAGTGCCATCGAGAGGTTCACCCCCCTGGAGAGTCCAAGTCTCCCTCCGAGACGCAGCCGGCATACGGTTCAGACCCGGAGGGAGAAGGGGAGGAAGGAACTGAGGCCTCCTTGTTAGCAAGCGCGGCTGGTAAGACTACAGATGCTCGCAGTGCTGCTGTGTACTGTTACCACCTATACCAGGAGCGTCGCGGTGCAGTTCCCGTACTGGTACGGAATACTACTCGTACCATTCATTATTGGATGGGAGATGGAGGTTTATTACTCATTACAGGTACGGATACATGAACGGAGTATACGGAGCAGATAGGACTTTGGTACATCGTATTACTGGGCACGGAGCAGGTGCACGTATTACGCGCCCCGCCCACCTTGGCAACCCAGGCAACCTGACAGAGAGGAGAATGCTCCGCCCGTACGCTGTACGGGTAGGCCTGTACCTACCCAACTACCTCGTACAGGTTGCTCGTACTCGTAGTATCGTAGTAATACCAATACTCTTCTGACCGAGCAATCTCCCGGTTTATCTAATCTAGGTACCCGCGCCTTTTTTTTTCTTCTTTTTTTTTCTTTTCTTTTTCTTCCTCTTCTCTATTTTCCATCTTACCGTACGTGTAAAGGTGCCATCCGTAATTTCATAATAACACCTCCTTTCTTTTCTCCATACCCTGTGAGATCCCTCATCCTTCTTGGCCCAGCCCAGACCAACCCCCTCTCCCTCCCTCCCCTCCGCCCTCCTCCCCCTTGCCCGGCGTCCCCAACCGACCGCTTTCGAGTATTACATCTACGGATACATCTGACGGTCAGATTACAACAGGCAAGGTACACAGGCAGGTATCGAGCGCCGACATCACTGTAGTTGATGCACAGCACAGGGTACCAACCTACTCTATATTGCTCGTATATATCGAGTGAGATGGACGGACCTTGAGAGTAGAGAGTGAGGAAAGATGGGAAATTCCAAAATGCAATGGGAATGGGTATCGTTCAATGCAAGAGATGTGCAATGTATCGATTTACGGGGTGGTATCTCTACCTAGCATTATTATGAAGCCCCTGCCCCCGTACCGTAACCCTTTCTCTTCTTCCGTCTTGCCCCTTCTCACCGTCCCTCTGACGGCTGATCCGTACTGCTTTGCTCGTACCGTCGTCGTCCCCTTATCCCACCCACCCCTTTGTTTCTTCCTCCCTCTCTCTCCTTTCATGTGTTGGCTCTGTGTGTCGTCTGTGGATGCATCCAATTTTTTCTCCCCTGTGTCGAGTTTATTCTTATCTCACCTCACCGGGACCGAGCCTGCACGTGTCTCATCGGGGTCCCAATGCTGTCAACCCCCGAGACTCTGTACATGTAACGCGCGCAACTCATTCACGGTCCGAGTAATGATGATACTCCTCCGTACAGGTAATACTCCGTACCATGTATGCCACACATATCAGTAGCGGTGGTACGAGACCTGATAACACTCGTAATACTCTGTCCAACCTCAGGCCAACACCCTACCAAGCTCTTCCCCAAATTGCCGCCCACCTCTGGGAGTAGACCGTCTACGAGTATGTAATACCTGTAGACTCGCCGGTCCCGTTCAGCGTATCCACCACCCACCACGAGGGAAGAAAAGCAAAAAGGGGTGGGTGGAGGACACAGAAAACAGACCTGAGAGACACCGGGCCCAGCTGATCACGATTGGCCAGCAGCCGACGCCAGATCGACCCAGTGTGGGAAGGGGCAGCAATTGAAACCAGATATGTTCATCGGGTATTTCCCCTTTTTCTTCCAAGGAGTACGGAGTACAGATTACTATACTCGTATATGTCTCGCTCTCTTTTCCTCTCTCATGTCTTGGCCGGTCTAGAGGAGGCGGGGCGGCTTCTCTCTACAATTCCGGAGCGGTGAAGAAGGCACACCAAGAAAGAAATAGTCTTTAGCGTTGCAGATACTATCGTATGCAGCCACGGAGCATTGCCGAGGCCAGTTTGCATCTCCGCTCGCCAGATTGATCAGTAGGGCGGACAGTACAGATTAGAATAGTAGCCGTAGCGGTGCTCATCCGCGTGAGACTGGGGAGGTTGGGTCATCGTCTGACTCTTTTTTTTTTCTTCTTTTTTTTTTCGCTTTCAAGGTGGATGTGGTGGATATCTGTATTCGTATTACGGTACCGAGGAAGCCATGACTCGGCTTCTGCGGGTGCAGCTGTGTCTAGTATGCGATGTTGCACACTCGCATATAAGCTGAATGAGACAATCGAGAGACTGATGAGAGCGAATACCATATATATAACATGTACCCCGGGACAAACCGCCTCCCTTTCTTCGAACCTCGATACCTGTATGTACGAGTACATGATGGCACCCCAATAGACAGCTTCTCCTCGTGGAGAAGAGCGCATCTGCTACATCGATACCCTGTACCTGACCTTCGTCTGGCTCGGGACTCTCACTGTACGACGATTCCACCATGTTCCCGAAGCAAGTTGGCGTTTGATTGGATATCCTGGCACGATCGAGCGTATGTGTGGTGTAATACCAGCCTGGGCTCTATACAACAGTCAGATAGATGGACACGGAAACGGAAAATGGGGGTCTTGGAGAGCGGTTCTAACCTTAAGGCTGGATCATCCACAACGGCCTAAACATTCAACAGGTACATGCATACACTCACCCCTCGATACATACATGTGCGCATGAGCAGGAGTATCTGAAGCGGTTATGTCGTCACAGATATCGAAGCTCGTAACGATGATCCGAACTCCCATTCGTGAATATCGCACACACTATACCTACAACCATCCTCTCCAACCTCAATGCAGGTGTTGAGACTACATAGCACGTGATCACGCACCTGCCAAAGCACTCACGCATCAAGGCTCCCCCGTCCACGGATGACGCGAGCGAAGGTGACCCCGCTTCAATGATGTGATTTCAACGCATTGATGTGAGGAGCAGAGGGGCAAGCCCTGCAATGACAAGAGAGGGGGAGGAGAATAGAAAAAAAAAAGACTCAAGCTCCTTCATGCTGCAATCCTACTACGGTCTATCTCGAGTGTGCGAGCCATAAACACCTTAGAAGATGTCCAAGCCCGACAACCTCCCGCCGATGGAATATCGGTTCCTGGGCCGTTCCGGTCTCCAGGTCTCCGCCATCTCACTGGGTGGGTGGCTGACGTATGGCGGTCATGTAGACAGAGGTAAGTCGCCACACACCGCACCACGTGCGGCGTATCCCGATATGCCACTGATGTCAGTGCTGCATGTGTCGTTGAATACATCTGACCAGAGTGTGTGGCCTGCAACAGAGGGCACGTTCGAGTGCATGAAGGCCGCGTATGACAGCGGCGTCAACTTCTTCGACTGCGCCGAGGTGTATGCCGACGGGGAGTCCGAGGTAGTTATGGGAGAGGCCATCAAGAAGTATGGCTGGAAGAGGAATGACCTGGTCATCTCTACCAAGGTAAGACATATCGCCTTCCCGAAAGAACGGAGAGAGAACAGAGAACTCTATACAGAGAGAAGAAGAAGAGAGAAGAAGAAGAAGAAGAAGAAGAAGAAGAGAGAAAGAAAAGATTTGACTAACCAACGGCTGCAAACTTAAAAGATCTACTGGGGTGTGGCCTTTGGTGACAACCCGATCAACAACAAGGGTCTGTCGCGCAAGCACATCGTCGAGGGCACCGACGGGGCCTTGAAGCGTCTGGGACTTTCGTACGTCGACATCATCTACGCGCACCGTCCGGACCGGCAGACGCCGATGGAGGAGACGGTCCGGGCCTTCAACCACATCATCAACCAGGGCAAGGCCCTCTACTGGGGCACGTCGGAGTGGAACGCCGACGAGATCGCCCAGGCGTGGCGGTACGCCGACAAGCTCGGCCTCATCGGCCCCCTGGTCGAGCAGCCGGCCTACAACCTCCTCAACAGGGAAAAGGTCGAGCGCGAGTTCGCCCACCTGTACGGCGAGCAGGGCGGGCTGGGCCTCACCGTCTTCTCCCCGCTCAACAAGGGCATCCTGACGGGAAAGTACCGCGATGGCATCCCCGAGGGCTCGCGCTTCTCGCACACGGACGTGCCCTTCGTCGCGCGCTTCCTCCGGGAAAACGAGGGCGATAAGTGGGACGCCGTCATCAAGAGGGTCAACGCTCTGGAGCCCGTGGCCGCGAGGCTGGGCGTCAGCCTGGCTGCGCTGTCGCTCGCCTGGGTCCTCAGGAATAAGAATGTCAGCTCCGCCATCACCGGCGCCAGCGGTCCGGCCCAGGTGTACGAGAATATCAAGGCTCTCGCCGTCGTCGATAAGCTGACCCCTGAGATTCTCAAGGAGATTGACGACATTCTTGGGAATAAGCCTGATGAGATCATCCAGAGGTATTAGACCCGGACAAGCTTTTTTTTTCTTTTTTCAATATATATAAAAAGCCTCCCCCCCAAAAAAAACCCCAAATTTAAAAAAGGGCTAAACATAGAAAATAAATATAAATATGGCCTATCCCAAAAAATTACAATGCAGAGCATAAACATACATATTGCCCGTTGACGTTGTCAGTTTTGATGACGCATCTTCCTCCCGGCTATCTCCATTGCACCATACATATCAAGTCCCCCCCCCCCCCCCCTCCTCCCCCCCGCAACGGCCGGCCGAGCGGTAACGTAACCGGCTCTCGATCCGTACAAGTCCGCGGAGCCCAACATTGCTTCTTAAGTCTATAAATTCAGTCGAGTAGATGATGACGGCCATTTCAATTCTTTCCTTTGAGTCTTTCCTCTCTTCCTTTCTTCTTCTCTCCGGAAATCGTTAAGCTTCACACACACGGATATCTACAATGTCTCTACAGCTTATCCAGAACTGGGTACCCGGTATCAAGTGGCCCATCATATGCAATGCGCCCATGATCGGTGCAGCATCCCCAGCCTTAGCCGTGGCTGTAACCCGAGCCGGGGGTCTCGGTATGTCCAGTCTACCTGCAGACTCATCATCTCTCTCCCCCCTTCCCTCTCTCTTCATCATCGGATCCGTCATCATGTAGAGAGGAGAGGAAGAGGAAGGAAGGAAGAAGGAGACCCTGACAGCTGGTGTCAGGCTTCATCGAATCGTCAACCGACATATCCAAGGGCTCGAAGCAGCTCGATAAGCTCACGTCCGACCTGGAAAAGTGCTCCTCCCTCCTCGACGGCAGGGTCGGCAACACCTACCTCCCCATAGGCATAAGCTTCATAACGGGCCACCAGTCCGTCGGCTCCTTCGCCGAGACGGCCGTCCCCATCATATCGCGCCACGCCCCGGCGGCCGTGTGGCTGTTCGCCCCGGACGGCGAGGTCAAGCCGCACGGGAGCGTCGTCTCGGCCCTGGAGCCGCTCGACCGCCGCCCGGCCGTCTTCGTCCAGGTCGGCAACGTCCGGGCCGCGCGGGAGGCCGCCCGAGACGGCGCCGACGTCATCGTCTGCCAGGGGACCGATGCCGGCGGGCACCAGTTCCGCGCGGGCATGGGCGTCATCAGCCTCGTCCCCTCGGTGAGGAGGATGCTCGCTGCCGAGTTCCCCGATAGGAAGGTCGCTGTACTTGCTGCGGGGGGGATCGTCAACGGTGACGGCGTCGCGGCGGCCATGGCACTTGGTGGGTGTTCACTCCTCTCCTTTCTTCGTACTCTTCTTCCCCTCTCCTCTCTCTCTAGATTTCTCAAGAATTGTTGTCTGCACTTTCTCCTCCCCCCCCCCCCCCCCCCCCGCAAAAAAAGAAAAAAAAAACCCTGACCCTGATATATATATTAGGTGCTACGGGTGTGGTCATGGGCACAAGGGTATGTTCAGTCCCTCCCTCCCCCGTGTCCGTGTCCCACCGTTCAATAGCGTACTGACACATGGATCCAGTTCACCGTCTCGGACGAGTCCATCTACCCTGAGCACAGGAAGCAGAAGATCCTCGCCGCATCAGACGGTGGCAGCGAGACATTCAAGTAAAGAAAACAACAGCAACAACCCGTCCTCTCACCTCCACACCCGAACTCCGAACTGACCAGCACTTCAGGTCCCCGTTCCACGATCAAGTAAGAAAAAATACCCTCTGGGGAGAACTGTACGACGGTAGGGCCATCATCAGCCCCGTCCACGAGAGGTACATGGCCGGCGCGTCACTCGAGGAGTGTCAGAAGAGTCTCGAGGATGATTATTCTCCCGAGGAGGCTACCAAGGTCATCAGCACGTGGGCGTACGTTCAAGATGCCATCCAAACCTTCACTCGCGTATTGATCGATACTGATTTTTTCTTTCTTTTCTTGCTCGTCAGCGGCACCGGCGTCGGTATGGTCGACAAGGCGGAGCCGGCGGGCGATATTGTATCCGAGGTACGTGACGAGGCCATCGACATAATCAGGAAACTAGGCGAGTCTCTATGAGATGACATGTCGTGCACGGAAGAAGACCAAACCAAAGAGAGGGAGGGGGGATAAGTCATCAGGTGCTTTATCACTTTTCTTATATTTTAAAATATAACAATATAAAAATATTATTGATTGAATTATTTCGGGAATGCAGCTCAGATATAGTTATGATTTACATATAGCTAGCTTCGCGTTCAAAGCTCCAAAAAAAAGAACAGCCATCAATAACCTTTCTAGCCGTAGTATTCACAGCTTTGCCTTGGTCTGGGCTTTCTTGAAGATGGGCTCCATCTTGGTAGCTTTCATGACATCGCCCTTGATCTTGAGCTTCCCAGACATGAAGAGACGCTGGGCGTTGGCCTTGCCGGTGGCTAGGTTGCCAAAGTCGGAGTCGGAAAGGGAGAGGGTGACTGCAGGAAGGGGAAGAGGTCAGTTATATTGGTTTTCAGGAAAAAAAAATGAATAATAAGAGAGAGAGAGAGAGAGAGAGAGAGAGGGAAAGAAGAAGAGAGAGGGAAAGAAGAAGAAGAAGAAGAAGAAGAAGAAGAGGAAGAGGAAGCACAAGAGGGGGGGATAAACATACCATTGGGTTTCTCGCCGGGACCCTTGCCGACCTTGCCGGTCTGCTTGAGGTCAATGTGCCAGCTCTCAGTCTCGCCAGCTCCGTTCTTGAGAACGAAGGCATAGATGCCATTTCCCTGCTTGATGGCATCTTTGCGCTCGGCATCGCTGGAGTTGAGGGCGGCGTCGATGGCGTCAAAGGCGGCCGAGGAAGGGAACTTGTCTGGGGTCGTCAGTACGGGGACGTCAGTACGGGGACGTGTTCATCATCCACATCACGTCATGCGACCGCATATGTGTGCGCACGTCCGTACGCGTAAGCTGTTCAACTGACCGTTCTTGAGAGACATGTTGGCTGAATGAGTGTCTGGGTAGGGGACAAGGAGAGTTGAGAGATGTCGTGAAAGAGAATGCAGGAGAAAAGAAGAAGAAAAAAAGGGCGAGGATGGGAATTGTCTTGAGAAAAGAGTATTACGAGGAGGTAAGTACGGAGCAATACAAGGGTTGCATGTGATGGGGACCTCGGTCGGCTATTTCCTTCCCTTTTTTTTTTCTTTTTTTTCCTTCTTTTTCTGTTTTGGTTTGGGAATTCCGTAGGCAGGAACAGCTTTCCCCACCATTGACATCATGCGCTTCACGCTTCACACACTCCCTCTCCCTCCCCCCAAGTTTCGGCCCACACGCGACCCTCCCACTCCCTTGCCCCGTACGAGTTAGTCGAGTTGTTTGTTTACCCCACAACTCCCGAATAGAGCACCTTGCTGGTGGTGGTGATGGTGATGGTGGTGGTGGTCGATGAACCTCGGGGAGTTTGAAGATATTCATCTGCTACTGACTGCGGCTGCCGTAGCTGTGGTCCGTGCCATTTGTTGATCGGCGGAGACAGAGAGTGTTGTGGTCGCGTGCATCCGAGCATCATCACCCTCCTCTGGTTTCTTCACCTGTACCCGCACTCCTCTCCTCTGGGCTTAGGTTCCGATTGGTACCTGGCCTTGACGAGCACCTACGATCCAATCGACGAGTTGGATTGGCATGTGCCGACGAGGTTTGGCAATACCGGGGAGACGAATTGGTCGGTTGAATCTCGAAACAGAGCTATATATATATATATATATACATATACGTACACTTGTATCCCCCTCCCGTTGCTTGTCGGATGCTCCGCTTCTTCCTTTGACGAGGTCTGGCCACCCCGGCCTAGCGATTACGATTCTATAATACAAGAGAGAAAGAAAGAGTGTGACATGCCGATCAGAGGACCCATTCCGGCACGGCAAAGTCCCTATTCTGCGGCCAGTTCTCTTGTCTGCTCAAGGTTAGTGACCGACAGGCACGTAAATGTGCAGAGGAGAGATGAAGGTTGTAGAGGAGATGATGAAAAAAAAAAACCCACCTGGTGAGAAGGAGAAGCGCCATGCGTCGCCTCCTCTCTTGTGGATCCCTCGCGGCTGTCAGACGCAGCCAATCGCCTAGGGAACCCCTGAGCTCCGTCTCGCTTCTGCTGAGGATATCGATGCCCCTGTCTGCGCAGGCGATGCGCAGCTCCTCGCTGTTGAGGGCCGTAGGGCCCCCGTCCTGGGCCAGGTTGACGTCGTCGCCCTCGAGAAAGGCCAGCCTCAGGCGGCCCTTGAGCTGCCACAGGCCGGGCGGGATGTACCGCAAGTACTCCCACACGTCGCCGGTCATGTACAGCGAGCGGAGGACGTGGTCTCTCGCTACGCGGCGGTTCATGCGCTCGTCGAAGGCGCCGGCGGGGTACCGGTCCTCGAGCTGGTCGAATACCAGCCTGCGGCGCGTCTCGGCCCTCCGCTGGGCGTTGAAGGTCTGCGAGGGGATGCGGCACGGATAGGGGACCACGCCCTCGACCAGCGCCACCACCAGCACCGTCATCTCGCCTATCACCACCAGCATCAGCCCGAACAGCGGGAGGCGTATCATGTCGTGGCGCGAGCGCCACAGGAGGACCCAGTCCGCGCGGGAGAAGGACTGCGGCACGTACGACGGGTTCCATATCGACGGCCTGTCCCCCGCCGGCGTGCGCGCCAGCTTGTCGCGCACCAGGCCGCGGTTCGTCCACACGCTCTTCACCCCGTCCTTGTAGAATCGGATGTAGCCCTTGCCGAGCTCGAAGAGGTACTTGAGTTGGCTGTCGTATGCGTCGCGGTGCGGGATCGCCAGCGTGGGCGGCCGCGTCGTCGCCGGAGGGTTCACCATTTCGCTCCGGGAGAGTTGCGTCCTGCGTGGTGTCGGGGGTGCGTTCCTCTCTGTCGTCGTCGTCGTCGTCGTCGGATGATGATGATGATGATGCCTTGCCCTGTTGCTGTCATGGTCGTGAGCCCACCGAACCTGTCGAGTCACGAGAGGCAGCCGGTCGGCCGTCGTGCTGCGGGCGGCGCCGCCGTTTGCAGCGAGGCCTGCTAGGCGGCTATACTGGGGCTGCTCGCACAGCCGCCATGGTGATCGGCAAGTCATGACGTGTATGGAAGGAGGGTGGGAGATGGCGACAGGCAGAGATGCAATTGAAGGAAGGGAGTTGCGATGGAGAGAGTGGTGCAACGTGGTGACTTTTTTTTTTCTGCTTCTTTTTTTTCCCTCTCTTTCCTCTTGTAGCCTGGACTTGGGGGGAATTTACATAATGAATCCGATCACCTCAGGCTGGGAAGATGTTGGGGTTTTAGGGTCCACTACAGTCGCGCGCGTACATGTAATAATCACGGTACGGAGTGATAGTCGACGGTCGTGTAGTGCTTAGGCCCTGGATAATTTTCTTCTCTACTCTGGGGTGGTGACAAAAGACTCGGCGCGTCACGTCATTGCCGGGAGGAGGAGAGAGAGACAGTGGAGAGCGAGAAAACCCTCAACCGTTCGTATACGTTCAACATCGCCGACGAGCAGATACTGTAGCACGACCTTAGCTGTACCAGGACTACAGCTCACCATGGTGAGGAGAGAAGAACCATAACAAGAAACGAATAAAAAAACAGAAAAAAAAAAACTCTCGATGATTTATATGTAGCGTATCCTACCATGTACTGACATTGAGGAAACAGGTTCACGCGGATGCCTCCAACTTTGCCGAGGGCGTCACGAAGGACGAGGCCTACGAGCAGGTTCTCCTGATGGCCGAGGGCCTCTACGCCGATCAGAGGAACTGGGTACGTTTCCTGATCCCTTCCCGTGCTGACAGACGTCGATTCGCTGACTTCTCCCTCCCACAAAATAAGGTCTGGTACGTCGGCGCAGGGGATTGACTGTCTCGATGCCAGCGGCAAGGCTGACCTCGCATCCGGATAAATATAGCAACCTGTCCAACACGGCGTCTCTACTATGGCACGCGTACAAGTCCATAGGAGGTGCTAGCGGCCACGTGAACTGGGCAGGTGAGTTCAAGTGTGCCTCGCAGGGGAAGGTCGGGAGGGGAGGGTGGGTGCGAGTCTAGCTGTACTGACCCGACCAAGGCTTCTACGTCAGGGACACCACCACGCAAGACCAGCTCATACTCGGGCCTTTCCAGGGCAAGGTGGCCTGCCAGACCATCGCCTTTGGCAAGGGCGTGTGCGGCGCGGCGGCGCAGTCGCAGGAGACGCAGCTGGTCAGGAACGTCGACGAGTTTCCGGGACACATTGCCTGCGACGGGGACAGCAAGAGCGAGATTGTCGTCCCCATCTTCTCGTCTACCTCCGGGGAGCGGAGAGTGGTGGCCATCATCGACATCGACTGCGCCGTCCTCGACGGCTTCGACGAGGTGGACCAGCGTCACCTGGAAAAGTTGGCAGGCCTGCTGTCCCGTAGCTGCGACTGGTAGTAGACTGGCAGTGACAGGACCTGTCTGTGCACAGTCCCGTTCCGTGTACAAGGTTAGTAATACTATACACCATACTTATTACCACGGAGAAATTAAAATACTGATAAGCTGTCATGCTGCACATCTACGAGCACCCAGATTCGTATTGTCCTGCGACAAATCTCCGTCCTGCCCTTCGACCCTTGAAACATCGGCACACATATCTACGGCAACCTCCAGAACGAGAGAACAAGAACGGAGAAAGGGAAGATGCCTCCTGAGACATTCCGGTGTCACTAGGAGGAAAGGGGAGGAGGCTCGACATGTCGTATTTCGTGTCGGTGCAGATGAGTACGGAGTATAGGGATGATAGATGACTACTCAGGAGGTGTGATGTCCTGACCGTCACTGTGCTGCTTTCTGGTCTTTCTGGTGGAAGGCCTGTCTTAGGAGGGTGATGAGAGATGAGGAGAGTAGAGAGAGAGAGAGGGAGGGAGAGAGGGAGAGGGAGAGGGGGAGAGTGAGAGGGAGAGAGGATAGAGAATACGACGTCGTATCTTCAGCGTTGGATCTCTGGCGTCGGATTTTGATAAAACAGAAGACATCTGCGTCGTAATCTTCATCATCAGATGTTGATCGGGCTTGATTTCTCTGGTGGAGACGGGTCGGGAGAGTGTCCACTTGGGGGGGGGGGGGGGGGGGACAGCAGTATCACATGTAGTCGTCCCAGTGACAGTATGTGCATGGGAGGCTTTCGGTCCATCTCTGCGTACGAGAGTACGGCAGAGGAGGAGGAGGGCCTCAGGCCGTGGCCAAGAATAGGAAACGTTTTAAGGTTGAATGAGCATACCGAGCGTATTCTGTAGTGTCTGTACTACCGCATCTTGCCAGCACGTGTAGCATTACCTCTAGTGGATGGATGTATCGTGAATTGGAACGATGCGAATCTTAGATGGATTGAGGCTTATACCGTATAAGTACGGAACTAAAGTAATCATCATCCTTGCAGGGGTTTGTTTAAAGGGACTTTTTTTTCTTCTTTTTTTTCCTCACCGGCACCACTGGTGGGGGAGGGAGAGGAAAATCATAGGAAGATGTAGGATAGGCACGCATGACCCGACATTTAGCGCCTACCCGTACGCATCCATCACGAGTATTATGATGATGATGATTATTGTTGTTGCTGTTGCTGTTATTGCTGTTATTGCTGTTACAATCATGATTATAGTTATAATTATAAATATTGATTCACATTACAGTACTACTACTCCGTATGAGTACTCCGTATGAGTACTCCGTACATGCCTGCTAATCTGGTACCTGTCAGAGGCTGTCAGGCACAATCGCTGATGGACAGCCTCTGAACCTCTCGTACCGGTTGGCTGAGCGGACCTGAGAGGGAGATCCCCGCCAGCTGGGTGCACCCCGGTTTTTGATGCCGCTAAGCCTTTATTGTAGAGACCAGCCTCCTCGGATTCCAGCGTCTCGTCCACTGGTCCACTGGCGGCGTGGGTACGTGCGCGATACCCTGCATGCCCTGGACGCCTGCTCCCAAGGACCCATTCATACCTAGATGCACGGCGTGTGGGCGGGCTGTTGCAGGGGCCTGGTCAGGATCAGGTCACCCCCAGCCACCGGCTCCCCAACCACGCGTTTCAGCGGGCTGTGTAGGTACATGCACGATATTGGCGGGCTGTACAGATCAGTGCTGGCAGTCAGTCTCGTGCTAACCCGCTAATGTCTATCTGCTGTCCCTCCCTGATAATAATACCGAGTACAGCCTACCACGACTGCCTCTCTTCCCGCCGGCACGCAAAACGTCGGACGTCACCCATCTCACCTTCTCCATCTTCCCTCCCTCCTCTTCCTCCTCCTCTCCTCCACTCCCAGTCGCTCTTTCTCGCCTCTCCTCTCCTTTTCCTCCAAGACCTTCAATCTGATCGCGGCGTGTCACTCCCTGCTCTTCTTTCACGCCGTCATATCAATTCTCCGACCTTTCACAATCCGGGCCCCCCGCCACGTCCCCCCCCACCCCCTCAATTCGACAATCATCATCATCCTTACCACGACCAAGAACTCACCCATGTAAAAGATAGACAACCGGCGATTCAGCGCACTCTGCACCTTATCGTACATTCTGCTCTCCAGACCTTCTATCCGCTGCCGTCGACGCCACGAACGGCTCTCACGACGCCCAGCATGGCGACCAAGACGAAGCCGCAGTTCCAGTCACCTCATACGGCTGGCATCTTTGCTGATCTGAGTGTTGACGGACCCGAGATTGGAACCCTCGTCGCCGTCATCGATCGCGCGCGTAACCTGCCCAACAGGAAGACGATTGGGAAGCAGGACCCCTACTGTGCTGCTCGCCTCGGAAAGGAGGCCAAGAAGACGGCTACGGATGTGAGAGGAGGACAGACGCCGAGATGGTAAGCACATAGGACAATGCACCCCCCCCTGATGCGACCTGCAATGCTGCTGGGCTCCAACATCTGATCAGACAGAGGCTGACAATCAATCTGCAGGGATCAAGAGTTGCGTTTCAAGGTCCACGACTCCCCGGACTACTACCAGCTTAAGATATCGGTCTTCACCGACGACAAGCGGACCGACCTGATTGGCGAAGCCTGGATCGACCTCAAGGGCATCATCGTTTCTGGAGGGGGGCAGAACGACATCTGGCAGACGCTCAACTGCCGCGGCAAGTACGCCGGCGAGATCAGGATGGAGATCACCTTCTACGACACTCGCCCCAAGCCCGACAAACCCGTCGCCAAGCCGCGCCCCCAGCCTGCTGTATCTGATCAGGATGGCAGCATGTCCTCCAAGCAGAGGGCCGCCACCAGGCGGCGACCCTTGCCATCCGACCCCGTCACCGGCGAGGCCCCTCAGCCTGCTCCGGTCCAAGCCTCAGCCCCGCCCCCCGCCCCGGTCCAGGCCCCTGCCTCCGCACCTGCACCTGCACCTGCACCTGCACCTGCACCTGCACCTGCACCGGGCCAGCTTCCGCCACCCACCACCGCCGCTGGCCCGAGGGCCCTCCCGGGCACAGATCCCTACCAGACCATGCCGCGAGGAAGCCTTGATAGGCACGCCTCCCACCAGACATACGCTCCCAGTCACGCCCCCGTCCAGAGCATAGAGTATCAGACACAGCCGGCTCCGGCTCCGGCCCCGGCCCCGGCTTCGGCCCCAGCCCCAGCCCCGGCTCCAGCCTCAGCCCCAGCCCCTGTCCCGGGCCCGGGCCCGGCTCCCGCACCGGTGGCTCGCTACGCGCCGCAGGAATACTCTCAGCCCATGCCGCCGCAACCGATGCCACAGTCGATACCCCAGCCTATGCAGGCGCTCTCCGATCCTCGCAGACAATCCTCCTACCAGGTGGACCCGTACGAGAACCCCCCTAGGACGTACGATGACAGAGACTACAGTCCCAGGGGCGCCCCTCCACCGCCGCAGCCGCAGCAGCAGCAACAGCAGCTGCCACCGCCCACATCATCGTCGTACTATGCGCCGGAGCCCCGTGGCCAGCCCCTGCCGGAGCACTACGATCATCTGCCCCAGTCGAGGGACGAGCTCGTCAGACAGGCCCCGCCCATGAACGACAGACCTCCGCCGCCGCCCGCTCACCGGTCGAGCATCGGTCCTGGTACCGCCCCGGAGCCCTCCTCTTACCGGGCTAGCAGCTATGAGCCGCAAAAGGCCCCTGCGCCCATGTCCATGAGGCACGACGTTCTGAGGACCGAGGCCCACCGTCACTCCATGTCGGCCTACTCATCTTCCCGCCCGCCCGCCTTCCGCTCGTACGACTCGGCGCCGCCGGCGCCAGCTCCCATCTCCAACGCCGTCCAACCGCTCAACACGCACAGCTACGAGTCGCCGCCGAGGCACCACACGTACGATCCCATGACGTACGACGCTCCTAGGCCCTTGCAGGCCACGGTCGAGGACGTTCCCGAGACGCCGCCCGCAATCCCGTACGGCCACGCTTACAGGCACAGCACCGGCTCCAGGATGCACCACCCCGATGACGTGGGCTATGACCGTGCTCCCGCCCAGGTGTCGGCACCCGTGAGTGCGGGCCACTCCCCGTCCGTCTCGCCTCTGCGCCGCACTCCTTCCAGAGAACCCGAGAGATATGACGAGATGGCCCTCTACCACCCGTCTGCACCCCCGGCGGCCGCGGACAGGGACTTCTCCACGAGCCCCGGACGAGGAGGCTTCTACTCGCAACCGCAAGCCAACTCGAGCCAGTACTCATTCACCGGGAGCCCCTACGAAGCGCCGCCTGCCCAGCGCCCGACCATGCAGCAGGTGCCGTTTGACTTGCCAGCGTCGCTGGTGCCGGGTATCGACCCATCTATAACGCAGGAGCTGGCGGAGCGGATCAACGAGGACCGGCGGTACGAGAGGCGGCACACGATGCAGAGCATGCAGACGCCTCCGCGGGGCCGGCAGGCGCTCCCCGACCCGTCGCAGCAGTACGGTGCAGGGGCACCGGGAGGGGGCGAGGCGGGTTCGCCATACGGCTACTCGACGCCGCCGCAGCAGCAGCAGCAGCAGCAGCAGCAGCAACAGCAGCAGCAGCACCACCACCACCACCAACGTCAGCCGTCCGGGTACGACAGGCGCAGCCCCGTGGGTGACGTGACATATTCTAGCGGGCCGCCGGAACCGCGTTCCCGACACTCGGTCAGCCCGTCGCCCCAGCCCGCGCCCAGCAGCAGCACCACCACCCAGCGTCTGATCAAGCGCAAGTCTGTCAGCCCGGCGCCGCCGCCCACCGAGGACCGCCGGGGGTCGGACGCACCCTTCAGCCCAGACTCGTTCGACGCCTTCAACAGCAACGCCCCCTCTGTGCGCGAGGAGGCCAACGGCAAGATTGTCATGTACGACGGCCGCGAGATCGATCCGTCTGACCATCTCCCCATCGAGTCGTGGGCACCCGAGCCCGAGGCCAAGCAGATCCAGAAGCAGCAGCAGCAGCAGCAGCAGCAGCAGCAGCAGCAGCAGCCGTCGCCCTCCCGGCCGTCCCCCTCGGGCGTCCAGCCCATGCCCCCTAGTGGCCGTCGCCAGCTCCGCATCGCGGCCCGCCCATCGCCCTCTACTGCTGCCTCGCAGGCCCCGTCGTACGACTCCTCCCCTGCCCCACCGGCTGGTCGCAACCGTCTGCACAAGAAGTCGCGCCCCTCACAGGGCGCCCTCCCTGCTCCGGAATCGAGTCCCCTGGCACCCGTATCGCCGGGAAACTACCAGCAGCCATACCAGCCGTCATACCAGTCGCCGTACACGACACCCACGCGGGGACAGCGGGGCAACAGTTTTTCGTACCCCTACGAATACGCCAACGAGAATTACGCTCCTCCGCCCCAGCAGCAACAGATTATGTACCACAGCTCGTCGCCCGGTGCTGTCGCACCCCCGCCTATCCCGGCAAAGGAACCCCTGCCTGCACACTATCAGCCGGCTACCATGAGCGGGGCGAATGGGGGCATGTCGCTTGCCCAGGAGCTGCAGAAGATTGATCTTGGGACTGGGCCGTCAAGAAGGAGGGGGGGCTACTGATTCTACATCACTCTTCCTTCTCCCGCGACACTCTGAAGTTCAGAATCTCTTCTGTCACATGCCATCACAAAGAGCCTCCCCCACGCTTCTTTCTGCGCTCTTGCGACACACTCTCTCCTTCTCTTTCCGTCTTTTGATTCTGCACTTTCGTTCTGAAGAGGGTGTTTTCTCTCTTATACCGCATTCCTCTTTTTCTGCAAAAGACGATATAGTTGTTGTAATGATATAACGGTACAAGGAGAAGGATTACTACAGGTGATACTCTATACAAAACATCATGCAAACGCACATACAGAAGAAAAATATAACCTTTGAGGGAGGGATGAAGAAGAGAAGGGACATGGGTACGGGATAGGGAATTTGGACTGCGGATATAGGAAAGGATAGGCAAGGAAAGGGACATGGAATATATGGATGGAAAGCGCGGTAGCATTGAACGAATTGTACTTTTAAATTCACTTTTTATTTTATTTCGATGAATTTCGTACATGTATGGCATGTCATGTGTGTGTGTGTGTGTGCGTGCAATGTTGAGAGAAGAAACACACAGTAGTTTTACAACGTAAGAGAGGAAGAAGAGATGAAGAGACGTGAACTTGACAAGGTGGGTAGTGGTATCGAAATCATTGAGCATAAAGGAAAAGAAGAGAGTATTATACACCAGGAACGAGAGATGGCCCAGGGATGAATCCGACACAGGAAGTGACAGAGGATCAAACAAGACAAGGGACCGACGGGGAAGAACGAAGAAAGAGAGCATTAACAAGGGACCAACAGCCGAGAGAGACAGAGAAAGAATAGGTAACTTGTTTCCCCTCGGGCACAACGCCGGTCTTGAGCAGGCAATACAGACAGGACACCCGAGATGGAAGGTATTAAAATAGAGGATATAGGATATAGATAGAAGAAAGAGGGAGAGGGAAAGAGGGAGAGGGAAAGAGAGAGAGGGTAGGGAGGAGGTAGAATGATGGTAGGATGAGCAGGACTACTCGATAGACATCTTGTCGAGTATCTTGAGGATACCGGCGAGTTTTCCCCTACCACGATCAATCTCGACGGCGGTCCTGCGGGCCCTCTCGATGAGGACGGCCAGGACGCTCCTGGTGTACTGGAAGCTGCCGGTGGCCTCCATCCTGCAGACGGCGTAGCGCTTGACCTGGACGTCCGACGTCTTCTGCTTGAGGATGTTGATGAGCTCGCGGTTTGCGGGGTCGGCGCGGATGGAGTGGATGACGGGGAAGGAGAACTTGCCCTCGGTCAGGTCCTCGCACAGGCCCTTGTTGGACGAGTACTCGGACGAGGAGAGGTTCATGTAGTCGTCCCTGATCTGGAAGATGAGGCCGATGAGGTTGATGAGGGGCACGCAGTCGGTGCGGGGCTCGGGCTCGCGCGACCGCTGCTGCATCAGCTTGACGCCCAGGCGGAAGAGGCCGGCCGTCTTGTTGCCCACCATGTCGAGGTAGTCGTCCTCGGAGGGGCAGGTGAGGGTGTCGCGCCAGTAGAGGTCCATGCCCTGACCGCGGTGGAGGTTGGCCAGCTCCTCGGCAAAGGTGGCCACGGCCACGCCGGCGCCGGCAGAGCCCGAGCCCGAGCCCGAGCCTGACGGTGGCGTACCGTCGAGGGCCTGGAGCTCGCGGAGGGCGTCAAAGTACATGTAGTTGGCCGCATTGATGGTCTGGGCCACGCCGAAGACGTGGTGGGCGACGGGGAAGCCGCGGCGCAGCTCGGACGAGTCCTGCACGTCGTCCACCAGGAGGGAGGACTCGTGGAGCATGCCGACCACGCGCGTGATGACGCTCAGGGACTCGGGGTCCACGTCCAGCCACGCATTGAAGGCGGATATCAGCTGCGCGCGGAAGTCCTTGCCTGGGTGGCTGACGACGTAGTCGTAGGGGCCGCGAACGATGCGCTCGTTGTCGGAGGACCAAGACCGACCGGGGCCGAAGTTTAGATCGTAATCTCTGAAGCGGTTCGGGTCGTTGTCACCGGTCGGAGGAGGAGGAGGAGGAGGAGGCGCGGCGGTGGCGGTTATGCCCGAGACCTTGTACGGTGGCGACCATAGACCCGGCAGTGTCGTGTTGGGTTCGGGGGCGTGAGGCATCCTGGCCAGGTTCGGGCTGGATAGAGGTGATGGGGGGGCGAGTGGTGGAGGTTGTCTGGAGGAGAGCCAGTCTCCTTCTGATACAGTCTTGAGGATCGATCTGCTATCGTGGTCGGCGGTGCTGGTGGTGGCAGGAGCCGGAGGAGGAGGAGACTGCGTTAGACTGCTGGAATGGTTGTGACTCCCTGAGCTGGAGGTGCGAGGTGGAATAGATTTGGGCTGCAGACTGCTGCTGCTGCTGCGGTGGTGGTGCGATGTCGAGGATGAGGCCATGATGGTGGCGGCGGGGCAGCAGGGGGGGGTGGACGAAAGCTTGTCTCCCAACAGGATCTGATGAGGGCGGGGGGGGGGGGG